AATCAAAAATTAGCCAGGTGTGGTAGCGTGCGCCTGTAGTTCCAGCTACTTGGAAGGCTGAGGCGGAAGGATCACCGGAGCCCAGCAGGTCAAGGCTGTGGTGGCTGGGAGCAGCCACTGCACTCCAGTCTGGGTAACAGAGTGAGACTCCAACTCAGGAAAAAAAAAAATTACTTATATTTTACAAATACTATTAAGTACTTAATGTACTATTAATTTAGATTTAAATCTTTAGAAATATAGTAATGAGAACTTGGGGAAACAGAATTTTAAAGTACTGTGCTTTGAAGAAAAATAATTATTAACCAGGACCAAGACTTTAGTCTAAAGTATTACCACTGTCTAGAAGACTGCAAGACATGGGCCTTAAGAATCCTATCTTTTCTCTTTTGGAGCTCACGACAGGTATCATGTGCCCAAATCAGATCTTTTTTTTTGAGTCAGAGTCTGACTCTGCCACCCAGGCTGGAGTGTAGTGGTATGATAATGGCCACCACAGCCTCAACTTGCTGGACTCAGGCAATTCTGCCTCAGCTTTCCAAGTAGCTGGGAATACAGGCATGTGCTACTACATCCAGCTAAATTTTTGATTTATTGTGGAGACAAGGTCTCACCAAGTTGCCCAGGCCGGTCTCGAACAACTAGGCTCAGGTATCCTCTTGCCTCTGCCTCCCAAAGTGCTAGGATTACAGGTATGAGCCACCACGCCCAGTCCAAATCAAATCATATTTTTATTTTTATTTATTTATTTATTTTTGAGTTGGAGTCTCACTCTGTCGCCCAGACTGGAGGGCAGTGGCCACTCCCAGCCACCGCGGCCTCGACCTGCTGGGCTCCGGCAAACCTTCCGCCTCAGCCTTCCAAGTTGCTGAAACTACAGGCGCGTGCTACCACGCTCGGCTAATTTTTTTGATTTATTGTAGAGATGAGGTCTCGCCAAGTTGCCCAGGCGGGTCTCGAACCCGCAGGCTCAGGCAATCCACTCACCTCAGCCTCCCAAAATGCGGGATTACAGGCTGAGTCACCGAGCCTGGCTCAGATCATATTTTTAAAAAAACAGCATAGTACTTAGAGATGGGAGCAAGTGTCAAAAATTCTCAACTTCAAATTCTCTGAACCTATGCTATCTTAAACACCCGCTCCTCCAGTCACCCAGCTTTGAGAAGGAAAAATACTGGTTTACTTCATGAAATCTCCATCTTAAAGGGGAAATCTTCAAATACAAAGCAATATCATTTAGTAAAAACAATCCACATACTGTGCATTGATAAAAAAATTTTAAAAATAGGCCAGGCATGGTGGCATGATCCTGTAGTCCCATGGGAGGCAGAGGCAGGAAGATTGATTAAGCCCAGGAGTTCAAGGTTACAGTAAGCTATGATCATGCCACTGTATTCCAGCCAGGGTGACAGAAGGAGTCTGAAGAAAAAAAAAAGAAACAGATTTTGAACTCTGTTTATAAAAGGCCCACTTCATGCCTAGCATGTGATGAGCTCCCATGTTGCCACCTTTTGCTAGCAGGCATTATGCTCAGAAACAAGCGCACGCCCACCCATCCCACCAACCTTTCTCTTCTCGGATCCCATCTCCCATCCTGTGGTCACAGGTGCTTGGACACAGGTACAGTGCCTGCCGAAGCTCCAGGTTGAGGAACCACACTTGCAGAAACGTGTTGACATAACAGGTAGCTCCAAGGTTTGTAAGGCCCACAAACGAGTTCTACAGAAATAGAACATTGGCAATTACACAATCAGTCTTCCTTTAAGTGCAAAATTTATAAGAAGCATCATTTAAAATTTTTCAGACTAAAAATGTATAAGACTACACAACCAACACGCTATAACCACCTTAAGTCTCTCTTGCCTGAAGGCAGGGCACAATTGTCACGAAAGTCCCACTGTGGGTTGACCACAGGAGTGGAAAAGACTTTGGACAGCATCACTGCTCACCTTTAGCATATTGCCTTGTCCAGCCACTTAAATATTAAAATTGGAACAGTGGATTCTAGAAGAGAGCAGTTTGGAACATATATATATAGGTTTTTCATTTGCTCTATTCCCAAACTGTGAACATTCAATAAAATGACAAAGTAGAACTTCTAGAAAAGTTCCTTTAGAGATGTGGAAGACTGGGGCTTGGTGAGGGAACTAGCTGCACATTTTTCAAAGATAAGGTCAAGACTCTGAACTTACAAAGAATTATTTTTAATAGACAACATATCTACACAATAACAGAGCAGACTACTTTGTGAATGCCAGGCTTTATGGTCAGAAAATATTAATGTATATTTTACAAAGTAAAACTATATATAAGATACAAGTCCCACAAGGCAGAGTTATGCCATTATGGAGAGCCTGTCCCCTCCTTTAAAGACACTTTAAAAGAGCTCAAAATGAAACATGCAACATGACGGCAAACATAGAATCAGCACTCAGACTAAAACCATTATTTAAAGACTTGCTGGATTACTCAGACACCTGTTTTAAAATGTACCATTAAGAACAGTTCCCATGCAAGTGGCTTAGAGTTTTAAATTCTACTAATCTTGAAGCTGTATAGATTACCTGAAATCAACAGTTTCTGATCATAGGCTCAAAACAAAAGCAAAAACAAAAACCAAAGTAACACAGCAATCGCTTAGAAAACAATGGTTTACCTTTTTTCTCCTCTCACAGTTGGGATCATCGATGTTATGAAAACTATTTTCATCTATTTCTCCTAACCAAATATGCTCACCAATCCCAACCAAGCAATTTGGATTTCCTTTGCAGTTTCGTCTATGGAAAAAAAGTTATTGTTTAATTTAAATACATAGTTTCATAAAAAAACAAAACTACAGTGAGATACCATTTCTAACCTAATCCTCATGTATAAAATTAGCAGAACTAAGAAAGTATAACAAGACACTCAGGTTGTAAGGCTGTGGAGAAACAAGCACTGCTGGTGGGAATCCCAGCTGGCAGGACTTTTATGGAGGGGATGCAATCTCTAACAAAGCTACACACACAGCTACCTTTTGACCTAACAATCTCATCTCTAAGAATTCACCCTGACACTACACCTCCAACAATGCAAACACTCATGCATTAGGCTACTCATTGCAGCATTGTCTACAATCACAAAACCCTGGGAAAAGCTTCAATGCCCAGACATAGAGGATCTTGGTGCATCAACAGAACGGAGCAGTATGCCACTGCAGTGAAGGCCATCTCGACGAACTGCTATGGAGTAACTTTCCAGGACATATTGTTAAAAAAGCAAAGTGCAAAAGAGTATCTCCAGGATACTGTTCTCGTGTAAGAAAAAAGGAGAAATAAAAAACTGTATCTTGCTCATTTGAACAAAAAGAAACATAGGATAAATCAGAGACTAATTAAATTGGTCACCTACACAGCATAAATGGGATTAGCATAAAAAGGGAGGGCATGTGGAACTTTCCTGAATGTGCCTTTTTCACATATTGCTGAATCCTAGGCCATGTTAATGTTTCTCACAAAACACACACAGGTACGTATGCAAATTAACAAGGATGGGAAGAACCCTAAATTCAACACAGAAGCAAAACATATTTCAACTGAATAAAATATAGGGGGAATTGGGGAGATGAACACATACTGACCTAAGTAACAAGAACACAGTCATTAATTAGCAAGCTTATTTAGTAGTGCCCGAAGGTTAGTAATTCTGAAACACAGATGTTGACTTCTAAATATTCTCCACTAAGAGAATCCAGGGCTTCTTGGAGAAATGGCTGATTCCAAGGCCACGGCAGGGAAATTACAAGATGAACATCTTACTCTGCCCCAGAAGGATGTAATCAAAGAAGGATGAGACATGTTAAAAGGGCAACAGAGCTGGCTGGAAAGGAGGTGCCACTGACCAAATCTGGCAACAAAATTTGAACAACAGCCGGGCTCGGTGGCTCAGCCTGTAATCTCAGCGCTTTGGGAGGCTGAGGTGAGTGAATTTCCTGAGTCCACGGGTTCAAGACCCGCCTGGGCAACTTGGCGAGACCTCATCTCTACAATAAATAAAAAATTAGCCGGACGTGGTAGCTCGCGCCTGTAGTTCCAGCTACTTGGAAGGCTGAGGCGGAAGGACCGCCGGAGCCCAGCAGGTCGAGGCTGCAGTCCAGTCTGGGCGACAGAGTGAGACTCCAACTCAAAACAAACAAACAAACAAACAAAAAAATCTGAACAACAAAATAATAGGATTATATCCTGCTGAGTAAAGTATGAATTAATAACTTCATGGCTAGATGGATAGATGGATGGATGACAAATCTCCTTTTAGGAGAAACCCATCTATCAAAGTAGGAGAAAGGACAGAATTTTAAAAGTCTCGGTCTGTCATCCATTAGACTGATAAAAGAATCAGACAAGAACCATCAATGGATGCCAGTGTAGGCAAGTTGGACAAGTAACAATATTTACAATGTCTCAAAGCAGAAGTTTATTACAAAGGGAAAAACAGTAACTTTTTGTGGAGAAACCTGGCAGGTACCACCTTAACCAAATGCTTGAAGTTATGGATCTGACAGCACGCACCTCCTGGTATAATTCACTAAGAATATAGCATTACTTCTGTGGTGCTTTGGCCAAAAATGCAGAACTTAAATTTAATCATGAGAAAACATCAGTCAAATCCAACTTGGAAGAACTTTCTACAAAGTAAGTCAATGCCATGAAATACAAAGAAATACAAAAAAGATTCAATAACGATTCCAGATTAAAGGAAACTAAAGAGATACATCAACCAAATGCAACATATAAACTTGCATTTTCTTTTGCTATAAAGTACATTATTAGGACAATGTGTTCCGCACATCTCTGGAGGTTACCCACTAAAGTGTTACTGACAGCAGTAAAAGACTGCAAACTTCATAAATGCCCACAGGCATTATAAGGAACTGATACAAAAGTTATAACCAAACTACAAAAAAGCAGGCAGAGAAAGTTTCTCAAGGTGTGATATGTAATAGTATCATTAGTTGAAAAAAGCAAGGTACATGTTACAATTTTTTGTTTACAAATGGGGATAATATATCTATTTGTTTGGGGAGAAGGACACAAGATAAACCAGACACAACCATACCTGAGAAGGTTACCTCTGTATTTGCTAGCTGTGGGTTAGAAGTAAAAGACTGTCTGTGCTACCCTTCACGTCTTATACTTTTCAGACTTTGAACAATGGAACACTACTAATTCCAAAAGTAAGTATATTGTTTTAATGTCCCATTTAAACACAGTTCTTCCTGGTTTTTAAAAAATAAAAATGGCGAGTGGATTGCCTGGGTCCATGGGTTTGAGACCAGCCCAGGCAACTTGGCAAGACCTCAGGTCTACAATAAGTCAAAAATTAGCCAGATGTGGTAGTGTGTGTCTGTAGTTCTGGCTACTTGGAAGGCTGAGGTGGAAGGATCACCAGAGCCCAGCAGGTCGACACTGGGGTGCCATGAGTGTGCCACTGTACTCCAGCCTGGGCAACAGAGTGAGACACCAACACACACACACACACACACACACACACACACACACACACACACACACACTATTAAAAAAAATAAAAATAAGAATGAAGCTGGGTGGTGCAGCTACTTGGGAGGCTAAAGCAGGAGGACTGCCTGACCCAGGGGTTCAAGGCTACAGTGTACTATGATTGCACCTGTGAATAGCCACTGCACTCCAGCCTGGGCAACATAGTGAGACCCCATCTCTAAAAGAACAAATAAAAATGAAAACAAGTTTGATCAAATTAAGAACGGTTTTGTCAGCTTCAGGTCAAAGTCAGGATGGACAATACTTACTAAAGAAATAAAAATGGGACTAAAACTGGGACTCATCCATTGTGAGGAGAGGATCAAGATGGAGTTCGTTTTGTTGCCTGTAACTCATCTCTAGTATGAAAGGCCTATCACAAGGGAATTACAATGCTGAGAGTAAAAAAAAAGTACTTCTATACAAAAAGAAAGTTTTCTCTTCTACCAAGAGAAGATTTTTTTAAAAAATGATTCAGAGACTGAGAAAAGTAACCGAAGTCCTTTTCTTGGAATAGCAGCAAGGATACACTAGTAAGATTCTTTTAAAAGAAAATTTCAAGTGAAGGGCGGTGGGGAAGAAAATTACAGCTAGCAGCAAGGGACTGCGATGTCTTTGGGAGATAGGAAACAGCATCGGTAACTAGAGTAAAAATGTGCCTCTAACACAAAATAAGTACTTATTCTGTCAATTCTATCAATTTGTTTTTGACTTGGGGTCTCACTCTGTTGCCTGGGCTGGAGTGTAGTGGCACGATCATAGCTCACCACAGCCTCGACCTCCTGGGTTCAGGTGATCCTTCCGCCTCAGTCTCCCGAATACCTGGGACTACAGGTGCATGATATCATGCTGGCTAATTTTTTTTTTTTTTGTAGAGACCTGAGGTCTCACTATGTGCGTAAGCTGATCTCAAACTCCTGGGCTCAAGCAATCCTCCCACCTCAGCCTCCCAAAGTATTGGGATTACAGATATAAACCACCACGCCCAGCCCAAATCTTTTTTTTTGAAAGTGTAATATGAAGTCTCATTTGTTCACTCTCTCTTCTTGAACAGGAAGATGGTAAGGATTTTTCATATGATTTGTTTGGCTGGGGAGACAGACACTCCCATGGGTCAAACACACACATCATTCGCTCAGAAAACAGTTTCAGTGGAACCATTTGAATTTAGCCTCCTGTTCCTGACAGCAAAATAAATCAGACAATGAACAAAAGGTAGGTTCTCCCTGTCCTCATCCCTGCCCCTCCCACACACAAAAAATCATGCACACTCAACTGGTTCTAAAGCTGACTTCAAACACAAATATATAGTCTATGACCCAAAAATTACAGTAAGACTTTCGAAAGCTAATGTGAGAGGTTGGGCCCCCAGAACACTGGCATTGTTCTTTTCATTTCATTTCTTAAATCAATTGTTGGCTAGGTATTACTGAGTAAGAATTCACTCAGTCAGAACACTTCCTGGTGCAGGTGAGAGAACGCTATGACAAAACTATGGCTTCTGGGTCCCTAAGGCCACATCAGGTGAGAACCAAAAAGCCAGCAGCAGTGCTTTGCATTAAAGGGGCTTAGGCTAACCGATTAAAGCTTTCCCAAGTGTGGCTACATCTTTTGTACAAGAGTCCAATATTGTGGTGGGTAGAGTGTGTTTGTTGTCTTATTTGGAGAGGCAGAGACTCTACTTACGAAGCATACATTATAAAATTCTAATTATACTTCAAGCCCGTCTAAATAGCACAGCAGAAACCAAGAACAGAGGGGCTGGAGCCTCTTCCATTTATCAGCCTCCAAGTCCCTAACTCCATTCCATGCCCAGTGGGAGGAAGTCCCAGGTGCACAGTGTCATCTGTCAACATGTTTATGCCAAATGTCTTATAGAAGAAAAGCATTTCTGTGTACTTGTGTCTATCGAAGTATGCAAGCAGGCAGATCTAGGAGGATGAATGTTCAAGAAATAAGACAGGAACACATATACCATGAAGGACATATCTGTTTAATGTGCAAATAAATACTAAACAGACAGTTTGACTCACGTATATATCTACTTGGCCCTAGTATGCATCTGGATTTGCTAATTCTGGCTCAAAAATCAAATAACTAGCTGGGCATGGTGGCTCAAGTCTATAATCCCAGAACTTTGGGAGGCCGAAGTGAGTGGATTTCCTGAGCCCGTGGGTTCGAGACCAGCCTGGGCAACATGGTGAGACCTTGTCACTACAGTAAATAAAAAAATTAGCTGG